TCTTTACTATTGAACAGTAGAAATCAGGAGGGAGTGAATATGGCAATAGGGCGTTTCACGAACTATATTTGATCATTTCAACACTTATATACATAAACTATCGATTTTTATGAAATTAAAATTAAAACAAAAATCAATTCATTCCAGTCCTTACATTATGCGTTCATTAGTGCGGCTAATCGTGTACCCATGACAAAGGGGTCCCCCAGAAACGACTGTGGGGGATCTTGGGATATTTTAAAGGATCTTGGGACTTTTTGCTCAAAATCTTGGGAATTTGTAAAATAGTGAGTGGCAACACTGCTAATTACCAGCAAATTTTAGACAAGCGTCGACAGCATCCGTGTCGTTTACAACATAAGAAATAACTTTATGACGAGATAACCAGCTGTAGGCTTCGTTTTACGCTCTTTGCGCTCCTAGACATTTTGCAATGCTAGAAAAACTTGGTATATTAGCATAACGGTCACTTTTTATCAGGCAGTGTACAAAACATAGCCGCTTATCGCTTATCACCTATATAAAACTACATAATCATTCAAAGACTCTTATGTATACAAATAATAAATTAAACGTATAACTCATTTGTTGGTCACAGGTTTGTAATATGGGAAAATGAAATATTTCTATTGCACGAAATGTTCAGTGTATAAAACGCGCTTGTTGTTGTCTGGGCTTACACTTGGTATGTCGGCAAAACCTAGTTGTAAGATCTGCTAAAATAAACGTTTCTACGTCTTATAACGACTAAATATTGGAAAAGTATATAAGCGTGATAAACTACACAACTTTTGTTAATCTTAACAACCGCCGACTGTTGTTTTTATTAAGTTTGAGACTTCAGGCATCAGGCGTTGAACTAAATGTTTGTTTTTGCAATGGTGTCGACACAAAAGCCAGGACAATGCAGCGTTGTGTTTGTAAAAATGAATATGAGTAAAATAAGTAGGAGCCTATGTTCAATGATAAAAAATTCTTAAAACTAGAAATGTGAGTTTTGATTCATAATCGACATTAATTTAATGTACTACATGTGTTTATATGAACAGATATTGATAGATATTTTGATTGTTGTATAATTTAGGATATTTCATTTATATTTTTTTATTGCATGCCAGATTTTATAAGTTTCCATGCAGAGTTTTATGTATGCCAAAATTATAATTAAAAATTAGGGTGTATATACTTAACACTTCCTAAGTATTTTCTCTCTTAATTAATTCATGTTGTAGTAGTGCACGTAAGTCACGAAATGTAAACTTATAAATAGACTCAAATTTGTAATGGTCGGGGTGATTGTGTAGATCGTTCATTGCTAATAAACTCCATAAAACAAACCGAATCAGAGTGCAGATCAATTTTCTGGACGAACTCAGTGAATTCTGCGACAATGATGGATAGATATTGACAGAAATGGATAGACATTGATAGATATAACAAAGTATAAGGCAACCAAAATTGCACAGGGTATGGACTATAGAATAACCGAGACACGAATAATTTTTATAAAATAGTAAAAAATGAATGGTTTTTCTCTCCTATCAGAATATCAGCTTATGCAGATTAGATCCAGAAAAAGTTTGACAACACACTGTTTTTATCCGATTCGTTACCGAACTGATTTGTCGCGTTAAAAACTCTACTTTTGTAGAATCCATTACTTCGGTTGATTTTCTGATGGCAAAGCTTAATGCTTTGAATTTGCCAGTCAATTCCCTTTGCTTTTCGTCTACTGTCTCGGTCATCATCGATATTATATTCACGCCACGCACCAATATCCCGTTAAATTTGTGCCTTAGATTGAACTAAACCACAGCCAAGTATCCCGTCGGAGGTGCCACTATGTTGGGGATCGCCTCCCAAGTTTCTCCCAATACTTCACAAATTTTAACAACAGGTTTGATGGACATATTTTTATTTCACAGTCCCAAAAAACAACAAGAATAATAACAACACGTGTTCTCCTTTCTATCGCAATTTGCATATCACCCCATGTTCCTTGCTTACTATTGGTGCGCTCAAGTGTTTGTTACAACTACTCATCTAAAAGAAGGCGAGTCTCTGACAATCTAATTACCAGCAAATTTTAGACAAGCGTCGACAGCATTAGTGTCGTTTACAACATAAGAAATAACTTTATGACGAGATAACCAGCTGTAGGCTTCGTTTCACGCTCTTTGCGCTCCTAGACATTTTGCAATGCTAGAAAAACTTGGTATATTAGCATAACGGTCACTTTTTATCAGGCAGTGTACAAAACATAGCGGCTTATCGCTTATCACCTATATAAAACTACATAATCATTCAAAGACTCTTATGTATACAAATAATAAATTAAACGTATAACTCATTTGTTGGTCACAGGTTTGTAATATGGGAAAATGAAATATTTCTATTGCACGAAATGTTCAGTGTATAAAACGCGCTTGTTGTTGTCTGGGCTTACACTTGGTATGTCGGCAAAACCTAGTTGTAAGATCTGCTAAAATAAACGTTTCTACGTCTTATAACGACTAAATATTGGAAAAGTATATAAGCGTGATAAACTACACAACTTTTGTTAATCTTAACAACCGCCGACTGTTGTTTTTATTAAGTTTGAGACTTCAGGCATCAGGCGTTGAACTAAATGTTTGTTTTTGCAATGGTGTCGACACAAAAGCCAGGACAATGCAGCGTTGTGTTTGTAAAAATGAATATGAGTAAAATAAGTAGGAGCCTATGTTCAATGATAAAAAATTCTTAAAACTAGAAATGTGAGTTTTGATTCATAATCGACATTAATTTAATGTACTACATGTGTTTATATGAACAGATATTGATAGATATTTTGATTGTTGTATAATTTAGGATATTTCATTTATATTTTTTTATTGCATGCCAGATTTTATAAGTTTCCATGCAGAGTTTTATGTATGCCAAAATTATAATTAAAAATTAGGGTGTATATACTTAACACTTCCTAAGTATTTTCTCTCTTAATTAATTCATGTTGTAGTAGTGCACGTAAGTCACGAAATGTAAACTTATAAATAGACTCAAATTTGTAATGGTCGGGGTGATTGTGTAGATTGTTCATTGCTAATAAACTCCATAAAACAAACCGAATCAGAGTGCAGATCAATTTTCTGGACGAACTCAGTGAATTCTGCGACAATGATGGATAGATATTGATAGAAATGGATAGACATTGATAGATATAACAAAGTATAAGGCAACCAAAATTGCACAGGGTATGGACTATAGAATAACCGAGACACGAATAATTTTTATAAAATAGTAAAAAATGAATGGTTTTTCTCTCCTATCAGAATATCAGCTTATGCAGATTAGATCCAGAAAAAGTTTGACAACACACTGTTTTTATCCGATTCGTTACCGAACTGATTTGTCGCGTTAAAACCTCTACTTTTGTAGAATCCATTACTTCGGTTGATTTTCTGATGGCAAAGCTTAATGCTTTGAATTTGCCAGTCAATTCCCTTTGATTTTCGTCTACTGTCTCGGTCATCATCGATATTATATTCAAGCCACGCACCAATATCCCGTTAAATTTGTGCCTTAGATTGAACTAAACCACAGCCATTATCCCGTCGGAGGTGCCACTATGTTGGGGATCGCCTCCCAAGTTTCTCCCAACACTTCACAAATTTTAACAACAGGTTTGATGAAGATATTTTTATTTCACAGTCCCAAAAAACAACAAGAATAATAACAACACGTGTTCTCCTTTCTATCGCAGATGGTATATTAACATAACGGTCACTTTTTATCAGGCAGTGTACAAAACATAGCGGCTTATAGCTTATCACCTATATAAAACTACATAATCTTTCAAAGACTCTTATGTATATAAATATTAAATATTGTCACAAATATTGTTAAACAGACAAGAAGAAATAAGTAAAGCTCAAGGAGTACTCGCGTCGCCCTATCAATTCAAGCTTGAATGTAAGTAAATGAAACGTGAAAGAGAGATGTTGGGTCGAAGCACATTGGTTGTGCAATTTTTGATTTGTTTGCATGTGACTTGTACAGCAATCATTGTGCAAGAGAAAGCAGATGTAAGGTACAATATTGAAAAATCATATCACAACGTTGTCGGCAATGTGAATAGAAAAAATCTTGAAAAATTCAAAGAAGACAAGCATATTGTAAATTTAAAAGTTTCATGATCAAAGCAGCATGCGTAAATCGCCAGCAAGACATATGACCAATTTGCGTGACAACACATCAAGTACAATGAACTTTCAGATAAACAAGTGGCATACGGCGACTTCACTCATCGTATTTTTAAACGAAATGCAAACCCCAACGTCAATGTGACAATCTCACCACCACCTCTACCACCAAAAATACCACCTCCTCCTCCATTGCCTATTTTCAACGCTCCTCCGGTTTGTGAAAGAGACAAATCCTGCTCTAAAGAAAACATATTAAAACATATTCATCATATTAAAACTTCATTGTCATGAAGTTTTCGGAGATTGTTGTTCAGATTACACAAAGTATTGTGGAAGGCGAGTATCTGGCGCCTTAAAACCAGACTGCTCTCTTTTTGTTTAAGGCTTCTCATTACGTTGAGGCTGTCCATGTCGGAATTGCATTTTCACGTGGTGAGGGTGCCATTTCCTAGGCATGCTGATGAGCTCTGATATAGGGTGAAACAGTCCTTATAATTCATCATATTAACAATGTTGCGTTAGCAGAATTTTTAGCTAATGCGACCACGCCCATTTATTAAAATTTTGTTCGACCACGCCTTTCCGACTAAGGAATTGAAAATCCTGGATCCGCCCCTGTGTGCGTAGTTTAGTTTATTAATGTATCCGTTCCCACACGGCTAAGAGCCAAGGAACAGTCATTGACGTTAGTTTAATTTCCTTATGTACCATATATAGCTTAAACAGAGGAACTACTCCGACCAATAATATTATTTGTTGTTTGTAATAAATAGTATAAATACTGCTCTGTAAAAAAAATAAAAATCAGTTCGATCATTAAGTTCACTCGTGGTTGTTACTGAAGGTATAGAGTATACTAAGAAAGAGATATGGCGAGTAACTCGAACTCAACAGTCACAGGTTTGTAATATGGGAAAATGAAATATTTCTATTGCACGAAATGTTCAGTGTATAAAACGCACTTGTTGTTGATAAACGTGATAAACTACACAACTTTTGTTAATCTTAACAACCGCCGACTGTTGTTTTTATTAAGTTTGAGACTTCAGGCATCAGGCGTTGAACTAAATGTTTGTTTTTGCAATGGTGTCGACACAAAAGCCATGACAATGCAGCGTTGTGTTTGTAAAAATGAATATGAGTAAAATAAGTAGAGCCTATGTTCAATGATAAAAATTTTAAAACTAGAAATGTGAGTTTTGATTCATAATCGACATTAATTTAATGTACTACATGTGTTTATATGAACAGATATTGATAGATATTTTATGATGGATAGATATTGATAGAAACGGATAGACATTGATAGATATAACAAAGTATAAAGCAACCAAAATTGCACAGAGTATGGACTATAGAATAACTGAGACACGAATAATTTCTATAAAATAGTAAAAAATGAATGGTTTTTCTCTCCTATCAGAATATCAGCTTATGCAGATTAGATCCAGAAAAAGTTTGACAACACACTGTTTTTATCCGATTCGTTACCGAACTGATTTGTCGCGTTAAAAACTCTACTTTTGTAGAATCCATTACTTCGGTTGATTTTCTGATGGCAAAGCTTAATGCTTTGAATTTGCCAGTCAATTCCCTTTGCTTTCGTCTACTGTCTCGGTCATCATCGATATATTCACGCCACGCACCATCCAGTTAAATTTGTGCTAGATTGAACTAAACCACAGCCAAATATCCCGTCGGAGGTCCCACTATGTTGGGGATCGCCTCCCAAGTTTCTCCCAACACTTCACAAATTTTAACAACAGGTTTGATGAAGATATTTTTTATTTCACAGTTCCAAAAAACAACAAGAATAATAACAACACGTGTTCTCCTTTCTATCGCAGATGGTATATTAGCATAACGGTCACTTTTTATCAGGCAGTGTACAAAACATAGCGGCTTATAGCTTATCACCTATATAAAACTACATAATCTTTCAAAGACTCTTATGTATACAAATAATAAATATTGTCACAAATATTGTTAAACAGACAAGAAGAAATAAGTAAAGCTCAAGGAGTACTCGCGTCGCCCTATCAATTCAAGCTTGAATGTAAGTAAATGAAACGTCAAAGACAGATGTTGGGTCGAAGCACATTGGTTGTGCAATTTTTGATTTGTTTACATGTGACTTGTACAGCAATGACTGTGCAAGAGAAAGCAGATGTAAAGTACAATATTGAAAAATCATATCACAACGTTATCGGCAATGTGAATAGAAAAAATCTTGAAAAATTCAAAGAAGACAAGCATATTGTGAATTTAAAAAAGTTTCGCGATCAAAGCAGCATGCGTAAATCGCCAGCAAGACATATGACCAATTTGCGTGACAACACATTCAAGTACAATGAACTTTCAGATAAACAAGTGGCATACGGCGACTTCACTCATCGTATTTTTAAACGAAATGCAAACCCCAACGTCAATGTGACAATCTCACCACCACCTCTACCACCAAAAATACCACCTCCTCCTCCATTGCCTATTTTCAACGTTCCTCCGGTTTGTGAAAGAGACAAATCCTGCTCAGGTCGATGTACTGGAAATAAAACTGACTGGAGAAGCAATGACGGCCTTTCATGTTACTGTGACGTAGCTTGTTATGAAATTTTTAATGATTGTTGTGCTGATTATGTCAAATATTGTGGAGAACAAAAAAACGTGGAAATTCCTTTAAAAAAATTTAACTGGACATGTGAGTCGTTGGGTCATTTTGATGCAGGGACAGTGCCAAGTGGGTAATGGTTTATGGATGATATCACGATGTGCGCATGACTGGCCATACGACATAATCCGAAGCAAATGCGAACAACCGGTCACAACTTTGAGGAATGCTTCGGGCATTGCTCGGTACCTACCGGCGATTAAATATGATTTGGTGTTTCGAAACCATTTTTGCGCGCTATGTAACAGAATCAAGGGTGATTTTGAATATTTTCCTTTAAAAATCAAAACTAGCATTCTACCACCTAATCGATATAGTTTTGAAAAAAAAATCAATTTTTTATTGATGCACGGAGCCGAGTTCCCAAGGAGTGGACCACAAAAACCAAAAACTAACCAGACCAGACGATACTGTTCAAGGACAATTGTGAATTCGTGTGAAAATAACAAAACGAATGACACTTGTAGGAATGGACCTGTGAGTATAATCTCAATTTTGGACGGTATTATAAAACTCGAATGCGCTTTATGTAACAATCCCCTTATCAATGTTTCCGGACTTTTAACCAATTTGTATGTTAACACCCCACAAAAGTTTACATTGAATTTAGACTATGGAAACATTACGTCAAAATTAACTTTACATCGTACATGTTCCGGATACGACGTAAGATTAGAAGAATGCGTTCAATTATTGCCAATACCAACAGGAAACAAGGACTCTTTTCGTATTTTAACATGGTTAAGTCCAGCAGCAAACGACAGGTTCAATAAAAATGACTTCAAAGGTATAATGAATCAGTATTATGGTATTGAAAGCTCGCAGATACAGAACATCAATATACAAACAGTTCTAAGGGTATTTGGATTGCCTTCCTATTCAGGAACACCGATATTATATCATTTAGTTCATTCAAAAATTGTTTTAACTCCAGAACAGAGTTTTAATATATACTATAATACATCTTCAAGTTCGAGAAATCTTCAAGAACTCATATATTTTAAGCAATCCAAAGCAATAACATGGAATAACATCACGTACACTATAATTAAGACTACATCACGTCCATTATCTTGTGTTGGGAAAAAAATTTACAATCAACGCAGTTATACAGTTATTGACGACGATAAAATTCAAATAAACTCGACTGGGAAAACTTATGAGAGATCACAGTACTACGGTGATATTGGAAATTATGTTGTGGTTTGCGAGGAATACATGCCAAACGGTTGTCAGCTGACCAAAGTTGGTCTCACCAAGAATGACGTCACCATATACAAGAATTTGGCTTTGAAAGTGAAGAACACTAGAATGTTTTATGATCGCGGCAACTATGAAGTTTCTAACGGCTTAATTTCACTATGCAAAACAAGAGAATCTTCCACACCAACTTGTTCAACTCGAGTGTCATGCAAAGGCCGCTGCAGTAACAAGACAGAATGGCGAAACATTGTCGAAATGACATGCTCATGTGATCAAGATTGTCATAAAGTTTTCGGAGATTGTTGTTCAGATTACACAAAGTATTGTGGAGCGCAAACATCTGGAGAAACACCGAGGAAGACATATAACTACACATGTGAGGACTTTGGCAATTATGATTCATCATTTTGCACAGTCGCAGACGGAGTTTGGATGGTCAGCGGATGTACATATGAATGGCCTCGCGATTCAACGCGAAGCAAGTGTGAGATACCAATAAAACAGCTCCCACAATCATTGGATATCTTAACAAATATCTTTGGTTATCTTCCAGTGATATCCAAGGATAATACAACATTTCGTAACAGGTATTGTGCAATTTGTAATAATGAGATGGAGTACAATTATTGGCCGCTGAAATTTAAATCTGCAGTAATGCCCCCGGAAACTTCCAATATAACCAAAATTATTCGCTTCCTGGAAAAATACAATGCGCGGTTCGGTGGCGACGTGGGACCAGCAGCAGATCAAGCTAGGCGATACTGTTTGAGAAGCATTATCAATAAATGCCCACCAGGTAAAGAGGATCCATCGTGTGATTATGGAAATCTTAATTTAGTTTCATTCGGCAATCTTCATTACACTAACACACGTTGTGCAGTGTGCGATGGTTTATCCAAAGATAGGGTGAGCAATCTTCAATGTTTTCCATATGAAATTAGTAAAACATGCCCCAGCGGTTGGCAAACTCGGTCGTTATCCATTGTACTTGGACACAAGCGAAGACAGAATGAAGTTATTCGTTCAGTCCCCATATACGATGAAAGATGTGAAAAAAAAGGATTGGTCTATGATGATAAATTACATGTCTGTCGTGTTAACTGGTTACCTTCACCAGAAGAAAATGGAAGGGAAATATTTTATGTCTTGTCTTGGCTACAACCATCGCAAAATCAGTTTGAAATATTATTTACAGCAATGGATTTTCAGAACTCGCTTTCTAAATACTTAAACATGACACGTGAACAATTCTTCTACATCAATATTTCAGTTCTACCTGACACGGAAGTTACTGATCGTCAAACATCAATAATTCAGTTCTACATTGTGGAAACAAAGATCATCTTAACACCACAACAAAGTTTGCAATTTCTATTCAACACGATAAATGCCACTGAGTTTGACAAACGAACTCGTGAATTTATATACTTTAGGGAAGAATTTTCTCTTCAAATCAAAAATTTAAACTATACCATCATCAAAACAACATCCCGACCCCTTGCTTGTGTTGGAAAGGTAACATACACTCCTGAAGACTATATTTTACAGCAGAATGAACGTGTTTTGATACGAAACACAAATGAAACTTTTGAACATTATGAATACTACCGAGAAAGGAAAGAAAAACTTAGTGCGAAACAAGGAAACATCACAGTATGTAAAAAATATGTTCCCACAAAATGTAATGGAACTGAAGTTATCTATTCACCACAAGAATATAACTTGATGAATAACCTCACTATCTACGTATTCAAGACATTTCGTACCTATTACTATGGAGAATATGAAATTCTTTCAAACTATTCTGTAAAAACTTGTCAAACGTTTGTGGTAAAGTTTGTCAAAAGAATTCGTGAAGTGCACAACGAAGCCCTTGGATATATCACATTTGTCTTTTTTCTCATCTCCATAATTTTCTTGACATTTCTTCTCGTCACCTACATCATATTCCCTCAACTACGTACTTTGCCAGGTAAAAACATAATGAACTTCGCCTTTACTTTGCTATTGTTTGAAATATTCTGGCTCCCCACAAACTTTACCAAGGTAACTGAGAACGAAAATATCTGTAAAGCATTTGCAATCATCGAACATTATTTTCTACTGGCGTCTTTCTTCAGCATGGTTGTCATTGCTCATCATACTCGAAAGGTGTTTGGAAAAAAACTACCTGCACCAAAAATGTCGCCGGGACACAAACGAAAGCTGTTTTACGTGTATTTGTGCTTAGTATGGATCATTCCTGCCTTGTTTATCGCAATTTGTGTCGTCCTCGACAGCGAAGAAATAATAAATTTGGGTTATGGAGAGAGGGATATTTGCTGGTTAACGGGAACAAATTCCTACGTTTATTTTGTAACGATACCTGTGATACTAATGCTGATGTTTAATGTCGTGGAATTTGTGAGAACCGCTATACAACTTCGTAAACACGCCCAGAATCAAGCAGGTCTAACTGCAAGTGGAAAACGATCTTCAAATCTCAGCATTTACATTCGTCTTTCAACCTTGATGGGTTTTACATGGTTATTTGGTCTCCTGGGTCAAGTGGTGACGTCAACATCTGTGTTTTACTATCTTTTTGTTATATTTACATCATTAGAAGGTTTTTTTGTAGCATGGGCCTTTGTTTTGAACGCTAAAACTCTAAATTTATATAGACATCGCTTCAGAAACACGGATAAAACTTCGAGCAGCAGTCGTAATCCCACAAGGAAATTGTTATCCAAGTCTGATCACAAGGAAACAAAAATGTAAATAGTATTCTCGTTGTTATGCATTTTTATTATGATACTGAACTAATATTATACGTTCACAGAAACGCTGATATTATGTTAATGTGTATTTGTCTTGATTGTATTAATGTTTGCATAACAATACAACATTAGTTAATCATTTGTATGAAATAATTGTTAAATTGTCGTAGCACATATAATTATACTGTATAGTCTTTGTTTAAACGAGACTTTGTCGTGTTTGCTTTATCCCAAACCGAGATGAAATAAAACAAAATGCGAAAGTCATTTAGATTGAATGTATAACACAATTTACCAATCTTTGCTCTACCCATAGTATAGTATACTATACTCGATATTCAGTCTCATACTGCACATCTACCTTCTTAGTCTTTTTGTTCGCCATTTTCTGATGTACAATTTTAGTCACATTCTGGCTTTAGCCAGTAATAATAATTATGGCGGAGTTTTGCTTTAGGAAAAGAAAACCATTGAAGATTGAATTAGAGGAAAAGACGCACTCATTTTACTACAAATAACACAGTATAAAGGTTTAATGCAATATTCGACAAATATTTCCCACTGCACTTTTTACTGTAAGTGAAAAGAATTTCGTTTCCATCTAAGGTATGAAATCGCAGTCAAGAGTACAAACAGAACACAAGGAATGGAATTTTTCATTTTTAAAAATATCAGCATAATTTAGAATTCTTCACAAGAATTTAACTCTATTTGAAGGAAAAAGCTCCTGATTAAAGAGAAACACGAAGACTCTTCCAGTTTTTGTAAGTGTATTTTTTTGAGCGTATAACTCGAGTGCGTAATTTTTTGTCAAATACATCATTTGACGTCATTGAATAATACGTCATTTGACGTTTTTAACTATATCTCCTCAGCCAATTCCTTCTTTACTTTTCAACATTTCATTGTAAGTATTTTCATATCATTTCCTAAAATATATCTGGACACATAGACCAATCCTGTTTCTCTTTCGCCTCCCAATAACCACCTTTATAAACATGTATTTCTAACCCCGATAATTCATCATGAACTTTCTCGAACCACACAGGTTTGTAGTCCTCGAACACGCGACCTTCACGCTTTGCTAACTCAGCCTCAGCCTCACGCTCACGGCGTTTTGCACGCTGTTTTTCCTCAAGTCTACCTTTGGCCGAGTTGGCTTCGCCCCATTTACCTAGCTCCATAAGCCGCTGATCAGGTCTGAAGCGCGAGTCTGTTAAAGCCACTGAATCATCTGGCTCGTTCAACGACATCGCAAAATCAGAAAAATTATACTGAAGTTCACGATCAGCACTAAAAACAGTCGCAGAGAAAGAAAATGTTGAACATATGCATTGAATTATCGACTATGTTTTTACTTTATAATATATATAAACAAGCAAAATCTCACAGCTTAACAGTTCATGAAGAAAAAACTTTAGGCATTATACTTACGGAACAGCGTTCATCTTCCATAAAGTAAACGGTGCCCTAGTTTGGGCTGTCTGTTTCGGCATTCCACCCTCAGTATTGTTGTTATAAAATACTTCAGCACATTCAATTTTTTTGTCCCATGTACCCGTCAAGATATAATGTGTTACCTTGGATTTATCCATGACATAACCAGTGACCTACGTATACAAACAATAAATGATTCATTATCGATTTAGCCTATTGCAGGCATGTTTCATCATGGACTGGTGGGGATCAGAAACATTGGTAGAAATAAATATGTAAATAGGCACTATTCTCTATGTATTGGCAGGTTTCACAATGTACAGATGTGTTTTACTATGTATAAATGTGTTTTCGAAAGTATTGCTTGTTTTACCAATAAGTACGAGTATGGTTTTCACTGTGTATGTGCACTATTCTCTATGTATTGGCGGTTTCACAATGTACAGATGTGTTTTACCATGTATACGTGTGTTTTCCAAAGTATTGTTTGTTTTACCAATAACGTAGGCAAAACAATGAATGGCAAATGTTAAAACCATGACAAATGCCAAAAAATGCCGATAAGGATGAATTGAATAGAGATCAATTGGAAACGGAAACGTGACGTTGGTGGCAAATTGGCAACGTGGCAAATTGGCAACGTGGCAAATTGTCACAAATATTGATAAACAGACAAGAAGAAATAAGCAAAGCTCAGGGAGTACTCGCGTCGCCCTATCAATTCAAGCTTGAATGTAAGTAAATGAAACGTCAAAGACAGATATTGGGTCGAAGCACATTGGTTGTGCAATTTTTGATTTGTTTACATGTGACTTGTACAGCAATCACTGTGGAAGAGAAAGCAGATGTAAGGTATAACATTGAAAGTTCATATCACAACGTTGTCGGCAATGTGAATAGAAAAAATCTTGAAAAATTCAAAGAAGACAAGCATATTGTGAATTTAAAAAAGTTTCGCGATCAAAGCAGCATGCGTAAATCGCCAGCAAGACATATGACCAATTTGCGTGACTACACATTCAAGTACAACGACCTTTCAGATAAACAAGTGGCATACGGCGACTTCACTCATCGTATTTTTAAACGAAATGCAAACCCCAACGTCAATGTGACAATCTCACCACCACCTCTACCACCAAAAATACCACCTCCTCCTCCATTGCCTATTTTCAACGTTCCTCCGGTTTGTGAAAGAGACAAATCCTGCTCAGGTCGATGTACTGGAAATAAAACTGACTGGAGAAGCAATGACGGCCTTTCATGTTACTGTGATGTAGCTTGTTATGAAATTTTTAATGATTGTTGTGCTGATTATGTCAAATATTGTGGAGAACAAAAAAACGTGGAAATTCCTTTAAAAAAATTTAACTGGACATGTGAGTCGTTGGGTCATTATGATGCAAAGGGACAGTGCCAAGTGGGTAATGGTTTATGGATGATATCACGATGTGCGCATGACTGGCCATACGACATAATCCGAAACAAATGCGAACAACCGGTCACAACTTTGAGGAATGCTTCGGCCATTGCTCGGTACCTACCGGCGATTAAATATGATTTGGTGTTTCGAAACCATTTTTGCGCGCTATGTAACAGAATCAAGGGTGATTTTGAATATTTTCCTTTAAAAATCAAAACTAGCATTCTACCACCTAGTAGATATAGTTTTGAAAAAAAAATCAATTTTTTATTGATGCACGGAGCCGAGATCCCAAGGAGTGGACCACAAAAACCAAAAACTAACCAGACCAGACGATACTGTTTAAAGACAATTGTGAACTCGTGTCAAAATGAGAAAACGAATGACACTTGTAGGAATGGACCTGTGAGTATAATCTCAATTTTTGGACAGTATTATAAAAACTACGAATGTGCTTTATGTAATAATCCCCTTGGACCTTATCAATGTTTCCCGGACTTGTTAAGCCAAGTTTGTATGTTAACATCCCCACAAAAGTTTACATTGAATTTAGACTATGGAAACATTACGTCAAAATTAACTTTACATCGTTCATGTTCCGGATACGACGTAAGATTAGAAGAATGCGTTCAATTATTGCCAATACCAACAGGAAACAAGGACTCTTTTCGTACATTAACATGGTTAAGTCCATCAGTGAACGACAGGTTCAATACAAATGACTTCAAAGGTATAATGAATGAGTATTATGGTATTGAAAGCTCGCAGATACAGAACATCAGTATACAAACAGTTCTAAGGGTATTTGGATTGCCTTCCTATTCAGGAACACCAATATTATATTATTTAGTTCATTCAACAATTGTTTTAACTCCAGAACAGAGTTTTAATATATACTATAATGCATCTTCAAGTTCGAGAAATCTTCAAGAATTCATATATTTTAAGCAATCCAATGCAATAGCTTGGAATAACATCACGTACACTATAATTAAAACTACATCACGTCCATTATCTTGTGTTGGGAAAAAAATTTACAATCAACGCAGTTATACAGTTATTGACGACGATAAAATTCAAATAAACTCGACTGGGAAAAGTTATGAGAGATCACAGTACTACGGTAATATTGGAAATGATGTTGTGGTTTGCGAGGAATACATCCCAAACGGTTGTCAGCTGACCAAAGTTGGTCTCACCAAGAATGACGTCACCATATACAAGAATTTGGCTTTGAAAGTGAAGAACACTAGAATTTTTTATGATCGCGGCAACTATGAAGTTTCTAACGGCTTAATTTCACTGTGCAAAACAAGAGAATCTTCCACACCAACATGTTCAACTCGAATGTCATGCAAAAGTCGCTGCGGTAACAAGACAGAATGGCGAAACATTGTCGAAATGACATGCTCATGTGATCCAGATTGTCATGAAGTTTTCGGAGATTGTTGTTCAGATTACACAAAGTATTGTGGAGCGCAAACATCTGGAGAAACAACGAGGAAGACATATAACTACACATGTGAGGACATTGGCAATTATGATTCAGCATTTTGCACAGTCGCAGACGGAGTTTGGATGGTCAGCGGATGTACATATGAATGGCCTCGCGATTCAACACGAAGCAAGTGTGAGATACCAATAAAACGGCTCCTACAATCATCATTGCATATCTTAACAGATATCTTTGGTTATCTTCCAGTGATATGCAAGGATAATACAACATTTCCTAACAGGTATTGTGCAATTTGTAATAATGAGATGGAGTACAATTATTGGCCCCTTAAATTTGAATCTGCAGTAATACCCCCAGAAACTTCCAATATAACCAAAATTATTCGCTTCCTGGAAAAATACAATGCGCGGTTCGGTGACGACGTGGGACCTATACCAGCAGCAGATCAAGCTAGGCGATACTGTTTGAGAAGCATTATCAATAAATGCCCACCAGGTAAAGACGATCCATCGTGTGATTATGGAAATGTTAATTTAGTTTCATTCGGCAGTGAGCATTACACTAACACACGTTGTGCAGTGTGCAATGGTTTATCCAAAGATATGGTGAGCGATCTTCGATGTTTTCCAGATAAAATTATTAAAAGATGCCCCGGCAGTTTTCGACCTCGGTCGTTATCCATTGTATTTGGACACACGCAAGGACAGAATGAAGTTGTTAGTTCAGTCCCCATATACGATGAAAGATGTAAAAAAAAAGGAATGGTCTATGATGATAAGTTACATGTCTGTCGTGTTAACTGGTTACCTTCACCAGAAGAAAATGGAAGGGAAATATTTTATGTCTTGTCTTGGCTACAACCATCGCAAAATCAGTTTGAAATATTATTTGCAGCAATGGATTTTCAGAACTCGCTTTCTAAATACTTAAACATGACACGCGAACAATTCTTCGACATCAATATAACGAAAGTTTCTGATCGTCAAACATCAATAATTCAGTTATACATTGTGGAAACAAAGATCATCTTAACACCACAACAAAGTTTGCAATTTCTATTCAACACGATAATTGCCACTGAGTTTGACAAACGAATTCGTGAATTTATATACTTTAGGGAAGAATTTTCTCTTCAAATCAAAAATCTAAACTATACCATCATCAAAACAACATCCCGACCCCTTGCTTGTGTTGGAAAGGTAACATACACTCCTGAAGAATATATTTTACAGCAGAATGAACGTGTTTTGATACGAAGCACAAATGAAACTTTTGAACATTATGAATACTACCGAGAAAGGAAAGAAAAACTTAGTGCGAAAAAGGAAACATCACAGTATGTAAAAATATGTTCCCACAAAATGTAATGGAACTGAAGTTATCTATTCACCACAAGAATATAACTTGATGAATAACCTCACTATCTACGTATTCAAGATATTTCGTACCTATTACTATGGAGAATATGAAATTCTTTCAAACTATTCTGTAAAACTTGTCAAACGTTTGTGGTAAAGTTTGTCAAAAGAATTCGTGAAGTGCACAACGAAGCCCTTGGATATATCACATTTGTCTTTTTTTCTTATCTCCATAGTTTTCTTGACATTTCTTCTCGTCACCTACATCATATTCCCTCAACTACGTACTTTGCCAGGTAAAAACATAATGAACTTCGCCTTTACTTTGCTATTGTTTGAAATATTCTGGCTCCCCACAAACTTTACCAAGGTAACTGACAACGAAAATATCTGTAAAGCATTTGCAATCATCGAACATTATTTTCTACTGGCGTCTTTCTTCAGCATGGTTGTCATTGCTCATCATACTCGAAAGGTGTTTGGAAAAAAACTCCCTGCACCAAAAATGTTGCCGGGACACGAACGAAAGCTGTTTTACGCGTATTTGTGCTTAGTATGGATCATTCCTGCCTTGTTTATCGCAATTTGTGTCGTCCTCGACAGCGAAGAAATAATAAATTTGGGTTATGGAGAGACGGATGTTTGCTGGTTAACGGGAACAAATTCCTACGTTTATTTTGTAACGATACCTGTGATACTAATGCTGATGTTTAATGTCGTGGAATTTGTGAGAACCGCTATACAACTTCGTAAACACGCCCAGAATCAAGCAGGTCTAACTGCAAGTGGAAAACGATCTTCAAATCTCAGCATCTACATTCGTCTTTCAACCTTGATGGGTTTTACATGGCTATTTGGTCTCCTGGGTCAAGTGGTGACGTCAACATCTGTGTTTTACTATCTTTTTGTTATATTTACATCATTAGAAGGTTTTTTTGTAGCATGGGCCTTTGTTTTGAACGCTAAAACTCTAAATTTATATAGACATCGCTTCAGAAACACGGATAAAACTTCGAGCAGCAGTAATATTACCGTGAAGAAATCGTTGCCCAAATCTGATCACAACGACACAAAACTGTAAAATATTGTCCACATCGTAATTAACCATGGCCATCATCAGAGATTATACATAATATAAATCCTGATATAAATCCTGATATAAATCCTAATCGTAATCCATTGTCATTATAATAATAATGAACAAGTATTCAACTTTCACAGAGACACTGATGTTGTGTGTATGTGTATATATATTTGTGTTAATTGCATTAATAAGCCCTTAGTAACCGAGCTTGCGGTCTTTACGGAGAAATAACGGACCGATGTCTTTTTGTACAGACCGGCGAGGTTTGTACAAAAAGACAGAGGTCCGATAATTCTCAGTAAAGACCGAGAAAGCGAGGTTATTAAAAGGATTATTATATGGCATTATTTGACCTGAAACGAAGCTTGCTTTCTTTCTCGTCTTTGCTGTTTTTACGGGTTCGTTTTCACTTTTCTAGTTTTCGTTCATAAAAAATAAATCGTTTCAAATTGTATCGTCTGGATAGTTAAACTGCTTTCCAAGTGTTTTCCTTCGACTCACATTCGTAAATGGTTTTTGTTTGCGTTTTGCTGTTTGCATTACGAAGTTTGTTTACGTTTGACAGTAAAATTACGCGTTTTGGACCGTGGTCGATTACGGGAAAATAATGGACAGGCAAAAATGTTTTTGAGCCAATCAAAGCGCACCATTTTGCCGGAAGTGACGCTTGCCTTATAATAATGTGTGCACAATCAATTATATCAAATTATTGTCTTTGACATTCTCCTGTAACCCTCCAGTTAACGATTATTTATGATTGTAGAAAAAGCTCTACTGTTAATATTAAGACGAAAATATTTTAAGTAGCAGATCATTTTTTAACTGTATTTTCTATTTCTGTAGTTATTTTCTATATAATACTCAATATAACCATTAAATATCCATAATTTCCAATAATTCATAACTTACATTTATCCCAAGAAAAGTGATTTATTTAAATGCAACTTACCAAATGTCGTCATGGTCAAAAGGATGAACAAGAAAGTGACCTGACATAAAACATGAAAATAAACAAAAATTTCAGAGCAAGCTACATCACAGTTAATTTTTTCTTTAAATGTTAAAGATTTTGGTTGCATTGCCCTACTTTAATAATATAAAAAAGTAAATCAAGAAAAATTACCAGGAATTTTGGAAAGTTCAATAGCATGTTTGCTTCATCCCAAACCTGGATGAAATTAATGAAGAAAAATACAAAAATCATTTAAATTGAAATCATTTAGGTGATACAAACAATGAAAAACATATGAATGAAATAAATTATATTACAGTGAAATAAATTATATTACAGTGAAATAAATTATATTACAGTGAAATAAATAATCATCAAAGTTCATGATGATCAAGTCAACCCCCCTGCACATCAAATTAACATCATCTTGCCTAACAAAGTCCCACATAACCGTAGAGTTTCAGAATACAACTGCTGTCAACAAATCAGTATTTAGGCAAGCCCATCTCATCCGTACTTAGTTAACTTTTCAACATTTGTGTGCAACAATAAAACATTTTTTACAAGAAAACAAGTTGTGTATAATCTACCTTTCCTTTTACAATAACATTTGCTCCTTCTTCTTTGATTCTTTCGATGGTAAAATCAGGTGTAATTTCTGGTACAACAACAGTTGTGGGCATTTTAAGCTTTCTCCCGGCATAGGCTGCAGCCAAGCCGGCATTGCCTCCTTTAACAGAAAAATATTGAGAACATGTAACAACAATTGAGCAACAAAACTTGCATTATTTGATGGAAGAAAATGGCAAACAGTTTTACAAGGAAATACTACAGCAGTAAATTGTGCGCTCACATACCTGACGATGATACAATGTTAGTGTAACCTTTCTCTAAAGCCTAATTAAGTACAGAAATTACAGAGAGTGATTAAGAATCATAAATACACGCCACGATAAATATAACAATTATTATTATCAAATATCAAAGTTCCCTTTCCCTCATATATTTTAAAGAAGTATACCATCTGGGAATAGTACAAGAAACCTATTGAATCATAAAATAATGATTGTGACACCTTCTTACAGCAGTTTCCAATACCGCGAATTTTAAAAGAGCCCGCTGGCTGCACATTCTCTAGCTTCAAGTATACATTACAACCAACTTTGTTGCTTAAACAAGTACTTTGTAATAAAGGAGTTCGAAAATATAAATTAGATGTGTATGACTTCGTATAGTGCTTAGTGTTACCCGCCATGTTAGTCAGTCACATGACTGCTTCCAGCAAATAATAATCAGTGAACTCCATATATATATATATCTGGAATGATAACGACAATACATTTTATAGATATAAAATTGAAAGCCAAAGTCCTAGTCTCTTGCGCGGTTTGTACGTCAGTTCCAGTCCTTCAAAGTCGAATACTCACGCGGTTGTACGTCAGTTTCATTTTCCTGAGTGCCAAACACATACACGGCCATTATAAATTTGAATACAAATTGCAAAAGCATAAACATATAAACAACATCACGACAAACAACACACGAGGCCAACTCTTCGCAAAATGTTATTTTTTACAGCTGAAACTTTACTACAGTGAGTTCGTTCTAACTTACAACTTGTAACGAAGAAAAGCCAACTGAAAATTACACTGTATGCTAAAAAGACAAGACAATAAGAAAATATGACGAGAAAATATTCAAGCAAAAATTTTTCTTACATCGGAAGGTAATTTTTTAAACGGTGTCAGACAGTGTTTGTCTTTTTTTGTCATTTCAGTGGATTTAAAGATCTGTTTTTCCGAATAAAAAAGAAACTTGAATATCCAGTTTCATAAAAAATATTGGGTCTATAACTCGCATTTTTACTTTTTACAGAGCGATTGTATTTTTCATCGATTTTGATAGTGCTTGAAATACTAAATGGTTGTCATCTCGATATCAATAATTGAATATCCTTAAAGACTTATCATTCCAGTTATTCAAATGTCGAGTTCACTGATAATAATCGATTATAGTAGTGCGTGTCGCTGAAATATTTAGTTCATGTTGATGTTTGTCACGTAAACCTAAAACGATTAATTGCAATAAATCAAATTGAAGGAAAAATCTGCAGTTAAAAATCAGGAAATTTTCTCATTAAATAACAAGATGGTTCTTTCTGAACACAGAACTTATGAGAACAGCTTTACACACTCAAAAGAAGAAATATTAAAAAAATACAAAGCCGACAATTCGTTTCCTTTAAAGGACATTGGCAACGAAAATTTTTATGGCATATTTTTGAACCTTTTGCGATGTCTAACAACTAAAAGAGATAATTTTTTCTCTAAAATATTTTGTTGCTGAGATATTTTCAGCAAAAGTTTTATAAATTGTGCCATCTTGGATAAAATTTTGATAAAATTATCTCGAGCGGTAGTGACGTCATTGGCTGGTGAGCAGTCAAAACAACAATACAATATACTTTGTGATTGACTGCGTTACAACACATTTAAAGCGTATTTTACGGGTTTTTTTTGCTGTAATGGATGACATACACGAAAATCAACCGGGTGAGGTTCTGCCCTATCAATATGAACCTGAAGTGAAGGCCGAAACTAGTGAAGAAAGCGTTTCCGAACAGGAGAGTGAGCAGAGCGACTTGTCCTCGTCGGTGGATGAAATACATGCTGATTTTGAGAAAGCAAATGCTTAGCGCCTTCAATCTCTTAGTTGGTGTAAGTGTGCACATTGTACTTTGTCAAAAAAGGCAATCGAGTGTTTTTTTGCCACGAAAAAGCGCTAGAATACGATGAGTATGAGGCTTTGCTAGGCCATATAGAAACTCAAGGAGTAAATTGCTTGACAACACACCAAGAATTTAGGGACAATATGCTCTCAGAAAGTGTGTTAAATATAGACGTGTGTCAGCATCTTGAAGAAAACTGGCCCCTGTCTGATGAGGATCTAGAGAGAATACACAAGCTGTATCGATTAGTTGCCTATCAAAGATGTTCTAGGTGGATTTTTCAAATTTTGGGGAAGAAATATCGAAGACCATTTCCTGCTTGTGTTTATGCTAACATACGAAAACGCTTCGCGTCACCAGACGGACTTTATACACATTTTAAATACGCATGTTATCACGAAAGACCGTAAATTTAAAGTCTTAGACAGACGCTCTTTGATGTTCTTTGTTATGATCTGCAATTGCGATGCCATATCATTGTCGAAGGATTGTCACGAACTGCGCAAAAGCAAAATGCATGAGTGATCCACCCAAAACTTGTATTCATTCATAAGTTATAAAGTTAATCGAAAAGTGTACTTGTACATTGTGCACGCAAACACGCACATAAAACATTACGGATAAACGAAACTCTACAGTCAAGAACAAAACATAGCGGCTTATAGCTTATCACCTATATAAAACTACATAATCTTTCAAAGACTCTTATGTATACAAATAATAAATTAAACGTATAACTCTTTTGTTGGTCACAGGTTTGTAATATGTAAAATGAAATATTTCTATCGCACGAAATGTTCAGTGTATAAAACGCGCTTGTTGTTGTCTGGGCTTACACTTGGTATGTCGGCAAAACCTAGTTGTAAGATCTGCTAAAATAAACGTTTCTACGTCTTATAACGACTAAATATTGGAAAAGTATATAAGCGTGATAAACTACACAACTTTTGTTAATCTTAACAACCGCCGACTGTTGTTTTTGTTTTAAAATTCCAGTGAACAAATGTGTTATATATTATTATAATACTATTATTTTATATTGTGTCATTCAGTGGATACCAGCCAATGACGTCGGTAATGTATTCCCGCATAATTTAGCATAATTTAGCTTTTTTTCAAAATGGCGGATAAGGATTCAACTTTATGTCTAATTTTCTCAACAGCCAAATTCAAAAGAGACACGAAAACACGAAATTAAGTATTCCATAGCTATCTATGCTATCTATGATAAACGTATGAAAAAAGAATTTTCGTTGCCAATGTCCTTTAAAGACATTTTAGCAATCCATATGGACCAAAATCAGCAGCTGGTGAATTATGATAATGCAAAGAGGCAAAATATGAATGTCTAATGATATAAAATATAATTGAATAAAAAAGCTTTTACCTATACATTAATTATTAGCTATAACTAAAATATCACATAAAACATCAATCGTTTGCAAACAGAGCATTTAGTTTGAGACTTCAGGCATCAGGCGTTGAACTAAATGTTTGTTTTTGCAATGGTGTCGACACAAAAGCCATGACAATGCAGCATTGTGTTTGTAAAAATGAATATGAGTAAAATAAGTAGGAGCCTATGTTCAATGATAAAAAATTCTTAAAACTAGAAATGTGAGTTTTGAATCATAATCGACATTAATTTAATGTACTACATGTGTTTATATGAACAGATATTGATAGATATTTTATGATGGATAGATATTTTATGATGGATAGATATTGATAGAAATGGATAGACATTGATAGATATAACAAAGTATAAAGCAACCAAAATTGCACAGGGTATGGACTATAGAATAACCGAGACACAAATAATTTTTATAAAATAGTAAAAAATGAATGGTTTTTCTCTCCTATCAGAATATCAGCTTATGCAGATTAGATCCAGAAAAAGTTTGACAAACTGCAACTGAACGCCATAACTTTTGAAAAAATTTCGACAAATACCATGGCAAATACTAATAAGCTTGTAACTTAAGTCGCGACAAAATTAACCCACCCTCCCTTTCCCTGAAAATTTATCGCCCTCCTTTGACGACATTACAGGGGGAAGGACTTCAAGTAACACCGGTATGTAGATATGGAATGTGCTGTCGACGTTGAAATGCATATACTACAGTTACCTATACTACTATTCAAAATAGGAAAATTTAATCTACAATACCAAAAGTTTCTTTCCATTCTTTCAGTTTCTTTAACGATACACCACTTCCTCCGCACACAATCACAACAACGTCTTTCAAATATTTAAGGTGACCTTCCTTGTGCAACTTTAGTAAAACATCAGAATATAATGCAGATAAGGTTGCCCCACAGGCGAGTTGAACCAGCATTTGATGGTCATCTGTTTAAACAAAACCAAACACAAATCAATTCAACTCAACGACGAGCATCTATTTGCCAAGATATCAAAAATCAACTATCTTGTTGGGGATCGCCTCCCAAGTTTCTCCCAACACTTCACAAATTTTAACAACAGGTTTGATGAAGATATTTTTATTTCACAGTCCCAAAAAACAACAAGAAAAATAACAACACGTGTTCTCCTTTCTATCGCAATTTGCATATCACCCCATGTTCCTTGCTTACTATTGGTGCGCTCAAGTGTTTGTTACAACTACTCATCTAAAAGAAGGCGAGTCTCTGACACTCTCCCCCCATATACCTTGATTTACAAGGTATATGTAACCTTTAAGAGACTGCCTTTCCGTAAACAAAACAAAAAATTTATAAAGTTCAATAAAGTGTTTGTTCATTGCCAAAAGTTTCTGTCGTTCTTCCAATCTCTTTCAAACTTCTAACTCCGTTACTTCCTTGATACGTTGTTCTGCTGCTACTGCGGCGTCTCGTTTAGGTTTAAACGCTGGTGCTCTGGGATCCAATGGCACGGAAGTCGGTTCAACACGATCGCATGATAGCTCTAGCGGGTAAAGATGGTTCACTGCTCTCTCCAAATAAGTTTTCCCCGCACGAAGTTTTACGGCACGAACAACACCATCTCGCCCATTATACAATTCCTCCACGATTCCAAGAGGCCATTTACCACGACTTCTCTCGTCTGATCGTATGATAACAACATCGCCCTTTTTCACAGTAAATGTTGTTTGCTTGTATTGTTGGTTGTGACGCTCACGCAATCCTCTTAGATACTCATTAGACCATCTCCGCCAGATAGCTTGCTTGCATTTCAACAAATACTTAGCCCGTTTCCGTTGGCCCCTTTCTTCTATGTGATGCGCTTCCAGCTCTGGTGCGAATGTACAACCAACGAAGAGCATGGAGGGTCACGTTGGAAGTTGAATATCATCCTCCATGTAACTTAATGGTCTATCGTTCAAAGACACTTCAACATCCAAAAGAACATCCTTTAACCTTCCCAATTCAGCAATCCATTTCCGATCGTCTATGAAGAGCCCGGATCAATCCGATTAGGCGCTCGAATTGACCGCCCCACCACGGGGCACACAACTGGGATTGAATTGCCATTTCACCTGGATTCTTGCTGAG